GATATTATGCATGTTGATAAACAAGTTACATATTAATGTTTTGGTTGTAAAGAAAAATGTGATAGACAGACCCTTAGCCCAGTTAACCAAAAGAAACAGCAAATCCAAATCAACAAAATCAGAGATGAAAGGGGAAACATCACAATAGACACCAAAAAGATCCAGAAAATTATAAGGGAATACTTTAAGAATCTACACTCTATTAAATTTGAAAACCTAAAAGAAATGAATTACTATCTAAATTCATGGGAATCACCAAAACTAAACCAAGAAGAGATCAACAGCTTAAACAGACCCATAACACATAAGGAAATTGAAACAGTAATACAAAACCTCCTGACTAAAAAAAAAATTCCAGGCCCAGATAGATTTACAGTATAATTGTGACAGATATTTAAAGAACATCTACAACCAATACTGCTTAAATTAGTCAAAGAGAGAAACAGAGGGAGAACTCCCAAACTCCTTCTATGAAGTCAGCATCACTCTAATACCAAAACCAGGTAAAGAGACAACCAAAAATGCAAACTATAGACACATATCTTAATGAACATAGATGCAAAAATTCTCAACAAGATACATATAAACCTCATACAGATCCACATCAAAAAGATCACCCAACATGATCAAGTCAACTTTATTCCAGAAATAAAGGATGGATATATATATATATATATATATATATATATATATATATATAAGAAAAGGTCTTTGACAAAATCTAATATGCGTGTTAATTCTAGAGAGAAATGGGCTGGAGGGAACATACCTCAACATAATTAAAGTAATATACAACAAACCCACAGCTAACATCATTCTAAATGGAGAAAAACATTCCCATTAAAATCAGGAACCAGACAGGACTGTCCAGTATCTCCATTAATTTTAACACAGTGCTTGATACTCTTGCTAGAGCAATAAGACAAGAGAGGGAAATTAAATTAGTACTAATTGGATAAGAAGAGTTCAAGTTATCTCTGTTTGCAGATGATATAATATTATACCTAAGAGATCCCCAAATTTCATTACAAAACTCATAGAAATGCTTAATACTTTCATTAAAGTGGCAGGTTACAAAATCAATCTACAAAAATCAGTAGCCTTTCTGATTAAAATAACAATTGGAGAAAGAGTATATGGAAACCCTCCCATTCACAATAGCCTCAACAAAAATAAAATATCCAGTAATAAACTTGACCAAAGACATTAAAGATCTCTACAATGGAAAAATTTAAATCTTTGAAGGAAGAGACTGAGGAAGACACAAGGAGATAGAAGGGCCTCCCATGCTCATGGATTGGAAGAATTAATATTGTGAAAATGGCCATTGTACTAAAAGTAAATCTATAAATTCACTGCAACCCCAGTCAAAATCCCTATGACATACTTCATGGAATTAGAAAAAAAATTCTAAAATTCATATGGAATCACAAAAGTCCCTGGATAACCAAAGCAATCCTGAGCACAAAGAGCAAAGCTGGGGGGATTACTATACCACATCTTAAACAATATTACAGAGCTATAGCCATAAAAACAGCATGGTACTGGCATAGAAACAGATACATAAATCAACGGAACATAATTGACTACCCAAACATGAATGAATGCAATTTTAGTCACAGGATACTTGACAAAGGAGTCAAGAACACACACTGGAGGAAAGACAGCGTCTTCAACAAATGGCAAAACTGGATCCCCACCTGTAGAAGGATAAAACTAGACCCTTATCTTTCTTTCACCTTGCACAAAAGTCAACTCCAAATGGATCAAAGATCTCAATGTGAAACTGGAAACCCTGAAACTACTAGAAGAAACCATTGACAAAAACCTGCAAGATATAGGTGTAGGAAAGGACTCCCTAAATTGGACAAAAGTTGCTCAGGAATTAAGGCTGACAATCAACATTAAACCAAAATGCTTCTGTACAGCAAAAGAAACAACAAAGGAAGTGAAGAGAAAACCCATAGAGTGGGAGAAAATCTTCACCAGTGACACATCTGACAGAGGCTTAATATCCAGAATACATAAAGAACTCAAAAAACAAAGAATCAAGAAAGCAGATGACCCAATTAAAAGACAAGCTATGGATCTGGACAGAGAGTTCTCAATAGAAGAAATAAAGATGGCTATTGTGGTGGTATGAATGAAAATGTCCCCCATAGGCTCCAAGTATTTGGACATTTTGTCTCCAGATGGTGGCGCTGTTTTGGGAGGTTTTAGAAGGTGTGGCTATCCTGGAGGAAGCACATGACTGGGGGTGGGCTTAGAGAGTTCTTAAGCCTTGCCAGATCTCTAGTCGCTCTCTTGCTTCCTGTGCCTGAGTGATGATGAGAGCTTAGCTTTTGCTGCTCCTGCTCCAGCCACCTCGAGCCACCACGGCTCCCTGTCATGACAGACTGTAATTCCCCTGGAACTGTAAGCTCAAACAAACTCTTCCTTTTATAAACTGCTTGGGTCAGTGTTTACATCACAGCAACAGAAAAGTGACTAGTACAGTAATGGAACACCTTAAAGATTATTCAACATCATTACTAATTAGGGAAATGTAAATTAAAACCACTTTAAGATTTTATCTTACTCCAGTCAGACTGGCTAAGATCAAGAGAACAAATGATACCAAGTGCTGGTAAGGATGTAGGGAAAGGGGAATGCTTATTAACTAGTAGGGGGATTGAAAACTTGTGCAACCACTATGGAAAGCAGTGTGGAGATCTCTTAAAAATCTTAAAAAACTAAAAATGAATCTTCTATATGATCTGGTTATACCACTCCTTGGCATATACCCAAAGGACTCATCCTCTGGTAGAGATTACTGTACATCCATGTTTGGTGCTGTTCTTTTCATAATAGCTAAAAAATGGAAGCAAGCTACGTGTCCCTCAACTGATGAGTGGATAATGAAAATTTAGTTCTACTCAGTGGTGAAGAAAGATGAAATCATGAAATTTGAAGCTAAATAAGTAGAAACTGCTACAGTAACTGAAGTAAAATGGACTTGGAAAACAAATAACCTACACTCCCTCATCTGTGGCTTAGCACCAAATCCTTATATGTGAACATATATACTGATATAACTGCAGGAGCCAGGAAAAGGGAAAGGAACCAGGGAGATAAAGGAAAAAAAAGAGCCTGAGAAAGAAGAACATAGGAGACATGTAACCAAGGGGGAAATGGGTAAAATAGGGATATTTAACTGGGAGAGGAAGAGGGAGGGTTATACAAGGAACCATGGGGATAAAGAGAAAGAAGAAGCTTGGCGGTGCGGGGGGGGGGGGGATGATCTAGATACTAGAAATGTGACTTTTATTTCTCTGTGTGTGTGTGTGTGTGTGTGGGGGTGTGTGAGAGAGAGAGAGAGAGAGAGAGAGAGAGAGAGAGAGAGAGAGAGAGAGAGAGAGAGAGAGACAGAGAGACAGAGAGAGACAGAGAGAGACAGAGACAGAGACAGATTGAATGATTAGCTGGTGTGAAAAACAAGAGGGAAATGTGTTAGTTCAAAAGCCTCCTGAAAAATTATGCATACAATAGCTCTACATGAATCCATATGTAGAGATGAAGGCTATGTAACAAGAAACAAGGCCAGACAGGAGAAACCTCCCTTTCAGTTGTTGGCCAGGGTAGTCCAAGAGACTCCCAAAATTAGGCTATTTCTGCATACCTTGATTGCCTCCCAGAACTTGAAGGTAAGACCCTGCTGCTGAAGACAGGACAAACTTCAGACACAGGATTTGGAGCAATGGAGCTGGAACTGACCTCCAAGCCTCCTCCCTGAAGGCTAGCTCTCATAGTTTTGGAGGACACTATGTAAACTGCTAAGGGAGAAAATCAATCAATGTTCCAACCCCAGCTTTAAGGCCTAAATTAACCACAACAATGACCAGCACAGCAAACCATATTGGTACAGCAGTGGCACTTTTATCTTGTGAGTAATGAACAGTTACCTAATTGGACTTAAAGTCCACCCAGTAGGAGGGAACACATGTGTGGCACTGTAAACATGACTCAATACATATGGCTGAGAGGTCATAGATCTTATAGAAAACCCCAAGTCTGTGACATCCCTAGACAAATGTAATTTCTCACTATATGCTAAATATTGATCTTTATATCTACAGACACATATGCCAGTAATTACTCATCAAAAAAATTGAAACAGATGGAAACTATTACAGAGTTCCACAACTGGTCAAATACAGGGAATCAGCATCTGTGAGGTGCGCAGCCCTAAATGACACATCGACAATGGAGCCTCTATACCTAAGGTTCATGGAACATAGTGGAACAAAGGGTAAAGACAATATCAATGCATCTCTCACCTCTTATCAACGAAGTTCCTTCATGCCACAAAGGGCAATGACACAAAAGACCACAAATTGTCAGAGTGTAGAGAATAAGTCTGCAGAGCATGGGTCCATGGAGAGGACTCCTGTATTAAACCCTGCCCATCCAGGGCTCAGAGACCATTGCAGAAAAGGGAGCAGAAAGACTGTGAGAGCCAGGGGAGGTGGAGCATAACCACATGGACATAGAGTCTTAGAGGCTTCTGAGATCTTGGTCATATGAATCTACAGCAATGGTGTCAGCATGCATAAGACCAATGCAAACTCAAGCAGTCAAAAACCCAGCATAGAATTGGGGAAATGTGCAGTAGGCCCCAACCGTAGCTGATGAACTGTTGGGAACTGATTACTGTTGGGTGAGGGAGAGTTGATATTATTTAAGGGAGTGACTCTAGATAGGCTGACTAGACCACAGTGGATGAACTTGCCCTGAAGGACATCTGGGTACACTAACTTGACTTGATTGGCCTTAACATAAATGACAGAATGCCTGAAATCTGGCAGTGTGTAGGGGCTATGGGAGAGTGTGGATGGGGGAGGGGTTAGAACAAGGCTTAAGAACTTGTATATGAAATACACTAAAATTAAAAAAGAATGAAAAGAAAGAATGAATCTTTGGTGAAAAGCATACTTAAAGCCTGGACCTTGCCTCCTTGATACCTGCAGTGGAGTGATCATTCATTTCTAAGAGGCTGTCATCCTCCTTCCTGTTGTCTGGGTTTCCCTTGCAGTCTGTGTCTGGGCTGTAGTGACGGGGCTTCATTAGCAGAGATTTCCTCTTGTTAACTGGGACTCCCAAAGCCTGCTCTTCAGCTCTCCTCTTCTTTGCCACGGACCGGTCATATGCAACACTATAGTGAGCAAGGCAGATTAAGAACATGGTAAAACAGCATTCACAAAGCATAATTCAAAGCATTTGGAAACTTGGGACTAGAAGTTTAGGGTTAGTCATCGGCACTAACAAAAACCACAGAATCCATCAAACTGTGCAGACTCTATTTTGCCATCAGAAGTGTTTTTAAAAAATCATCCTTAATAGCTGGGCATGGTGGCACATGGCTTTAGTCCCAAGTCTTGGAAGGCAGAAGCAGGAGGATCTCTGGAGTTTGAGGCCAGCCTGGTCTACATAGTGAGTTCCAGGCCAGCTGGGGCTATAGGGAGGCCCTGTCTCAGAAAGACTAAAAGAAAAAATATCCTTAATCCTGAGTAAGCATATATTAACCTGTGGTTTAGTTGGCACTACACCAAATACCCAGGAGGCATGAAACAAGATTTGAACTGGTTTGCCAAACCTAAGAAATAGCTAATATAAAAAATATACCACAAGATACTGGATATGTGTCTAGTGTAGGTAAATTTTGGTTTTTTCAAATAATAATATGTCACTACAGTTGCCACAGTTGTGCCTCAAACATAAGATGCTCCATGTCTTGAGCACTGATATGAATGAAAGGGCTGTTGAGCAAGGAAGCAAGCTTGATGTCCAAGCAGCTGATCTCCAGTGGTGAGAACGGTGAAAAGATTCTATGTGGCACTCTGCCTTTTGATTCTCACCCACTTGGCACATAGAACAAACAGATAAAAGGAGAAGAAATAAAGCTGGATCTCACAAAAATGGATGTTAAATTCTTATTCCTGTTGACTCACAGTGTTGTTTGGAAATGCCCCCGAAGGAGGTCCTTTCAACACAGATTTTTCCACATGCACCTCACTCAAAATTAGTGCATATAACTGTGAAGATAAGAGAAGCATTCTCCTAGCTGGCAATATCTGTGAAGACCAGAGGATTTCATCAACAGTGAGTCTATGATAGATATTTGTTAAATGGCTTTGAAGAAAAATGAGTGAGTTTTTGATGAAAAAAATTCCAGGGAGAACATCTAGATGCAGAGTAACAAGATATCAGTAATTTAGCCAGCTCGAATGACAATTGAATTCTCAGTAATATCACTAAGTAGACAAACTGTTCTCTAACAAACACTAATGCAAACAGTGTGGCCTATTCATAAAAACAATTTAATACAGTGGGGCATAAACTCTTAAATATAGAAAAGTAGATGCAAAAACTTCCAAGGGAAGGAATGTATCATTCCTTATTTTAAAAAAAGAAAAAAGAAAAAAAGATTCTAGAAGGAGAGATAATTCAAGGTTAAGTCTCATAAAAGGTGAAAACCAGAGAACTGAAAATTATTTTGATGGGAAGAAGTGAGTGACGTTCCATAAATAAACTAATGTGTTTCCACAAAACAGAACCCAGAGTTAAAGTGACCAAGTAGAGAAGATGCAGTGAAAGGGAGCATGGCCCCAGGCACCCTGGTAAGAAGACCTGTGTGGACTGAATCAATCTGCTGGTTTGGGAAGAACATGGAAGGCTCTGCACACTAATTTGATGTAAGGGGAAAGGGCACAGACAAAGGGAACTTCCCTTACATTCACCGGCTGGGTAAGTGACTCACTTTTGAAGGGGGAGAGATGTTTGAAAAAGAAGAATATGAGGTAAGATGTCTTACCTAGGAAGTAAAGTAGTGAAGAGAGTTCAAGAAATTCTCTGAACTTCAAAAATCAAATTAATTTCCACACTCCTCTCTCCCCAAAAAGCTCAGAAAATATAATAGTAGTTACTAAACATTACGAAGAACTATGGAAACTTGTATAAAGTAGGAGGAACTCCTATACCATTCAGTTATTAAAAGCAGAGTTAGAAAATGGATTTTAAGAACCAGTGACCAGTGATTTAAGCCTTATGTTGGTATTAGGAAAGAGGCTAACAAAACATGTTGAAATGAAGACTTACTGGACTCCCAATTTAAGTTCTTTTGCAGAAATACTCAGAAGTGGTATTGGTGGAGCAATGGTAGCTCTAGTTTTGAGGAATTGTCACCTTGATTTTATGTTAATTGCAGCACCATTTACAGTAGCCAGTATGTGGAAATCACCTCAACGTGCATGGACAGATGGGTGGATAAAGAAAATGTCTGTATCAGGGTTGGAGAGATGGTTCAGTTGGTTAAGAGCACTGCTTGCTCTTGCAGAGGACCTGGGGTTTGGTTCCCAGAACCCACCTGGTGGTTAACAACTGTCTGAAACTACAGTTCCGGGGATCTGACACTCTCTTCTGACCTCCATAGGTACTGCACGACATGGTACACTTAACACACATGCAGGCAATACACTCATACACATAAAATAAATATAATACTAAAATATTTTAAAAAGAAAATGTTTGTATATACAGTATATACCAATTCAACTCTAATTTAAAAAAGAAGGAAATACTGCCATATGCATCTATGTGGATTAACCTTGAAGACATCATGCTAAGTGATATAAATCAGATACAGAAAGAAAAATGTGCATGATTCCTCTTATAACTGAGGTATATAAGAGATTCAAACTCATGGAATCTAAGAAAGAAGTAGCGGTTGTCTCAAATGACCTGTAAACTCTCTCTCAACTGGTTACTTTGCATAGTGCCAGAAAGTGCTATGCAGGCTGCTAGGGGAGAAAAATACATTAGTGGTCTTAACCCAGGGCTGGACCCTGCATGTAGCATACTGATCTGCCTGGCAAGTTGTGTCCATGGGTGCAATAGTGGCATAAATGCCATAGGAGTAACCCATAGTTTTCTGCTGGGGTGTGAGACCTGCTCTTGCAGGACAGATTTCATGCCTGATACTGTCATCCTGGTCAAAAGCTCAGGACTGGGGAGATCATAAGTCCTGGTGGCAGGAACCTATTGATGTTATGTTAAATAGTCGTACCATCAAGCTACCTCCTGAAAACTTGTATTTTTTATCTGTAGATCTGTATTGTTCTCAGCTTTGGTCAGAGAACTTTATTTTTGCCATGGACAAAAGTTAATGTTGAGACTCAAGATGCCAAGTATAAATAATTTTGAGGGTTCAGCTGTGGGTGGATCATCTATATTAAACTCCCCAATCCAAAGCTCAGGAAACATCACTGAAAAGTGGGTGTAAAGAATGTTAAGAGCTAGAGGATGAAGCGGAGAGTTGGGAAATATTGACTTCTGGACATGACATGACCGTTGCACACATCAACTCACTGCATCTGTTGTTACCTGCATAAGACCTGCACAGGATCAAGGCAGCTAAAATTCAACACGAATGGGGGAGGAGTCCCTAAGGCCCCACTCTTGTTGGAGGAGCTATTGGTAGTTTATGGTTGTTGAGGAAGGTAGAGTCACTCTTCTTTGGGGATATGGTTGCTGGTAGATTGTCCATGCCCAAGTGGATGGCCCACATCTATGTGCATATGGACAGCACTAATTGGACTCAGGGATTTATGAATAACAAAAAGGAGAACTTGAAGTTGGGAGGGAGATAGGGTGGGCAGCACTAGGGGTAATTGGAAGGAGGTAATTGTGGATGGATATGATCAAAACACATTATATGAACATATAAAACTTTCAAAGAATAAATTAAAATATTGTTAAAAAAGAGAAATAGAGGTTGCTAGGTGCTGGGGGAGGGAAATGGGGAATTTCTAATCAACAGTTGCAAAAGTTATTCTAACAAGATGAAGAAACTCTAGAAATCTGTTGTACAATGCTTCCTCTAAGGTCAACAACATGTAGTGTTAAAGGTAAAGAACATGTGGAATGCTTCTACCATGGTAACATTTAAGAAGAAGATGAAGGAGGATCAGAAGAAAGAGGAGATTTATTGGCACCAGCAAGCAGTCATCATGGGGCTAGTTAACAAGCGCTGATTAGCAAGAAAAATGTCACTTCTTTCATTGATGATAGAGACTACACACATGCTACCTGGTCCTTATAAACTTTTTCTTTTTAATATTATCATCCAAGATCACTTATTTACAAAAAGGTAACATTTCAACCAAGTAACTGTTAACTTGTGGGGCTGACAGTTGAACCCAAGTGAACAAGGCCTTCCATCTCTTGCTTTTCTCTCCATGTTTTCAGATCAGGACAACAGATTTAGGTAATTCTGTATGCCTTTGACAGTCTGTTGAAACAGAACTTTCTGGCTGGAAGGAAGGTACTTACCACAGGGCTCTGCCTGGTGATTTTCATGTTTGTGTATACATGGCAACTTAAAAAGTTTATTTATATTTTATATGTACGAGTGTTTTGTCTGCATGTATGTAAGTGCACTATGTGTGTGCAATGTCCATGGAGGCCAGAAGAGGGCACTGGATACCCTGGAATTGGGGTTACAGATGGTTGTTAACCACCATGTGGGTGCTGGGAACTGATCCTGGGTCCTCTGCAAGGGCAGCCAGTGCTCTTAACTACTGAGCCTTCACTCTAGCCCCAACACAGCAACTTTTTAAAAAAAGGATTTATTTCATGTATATGTGTGTGAGCTTGAGTATATTTGTGTGTACAACATGCTTGCAGTGTCCATGGAGGCCAGAAGAGGGCATTTGATCTCCTAAAACTGGAGTACGGGTGGTTGTGAGCTGCTTGATGTGTGTGCTAGGAACAGAACCTAGGTCCTCTGAAAGAGTAGCACTCACTATCAATCACTGAGTCAGCTCTGTAGCCCCAACATGGCCACTGTTTTAGCTGAAGATGACAACACCAGGTCAAGACAGAGCTGTGAGGTTCCTAACTCAGGGTTCCTCAGGCCCCATCAATATGGGTTGATGCTGCCACTTTCCAGCTCTCTGTAGAGTATGCATGTACACGTGGCCATAACAGCATTCTCCTTTTACACTTTTATTTATATTTACATAAATTACATTAGGTTTACACATAACATTTGCCTTAAATCTCACATTCTGTGTATTTTTTCTACTGTAAAGTACCCACAGCCCAGGCAGCATTTGGAGCTAAAATGAAAGGCTTTATAATAGATATTACCCTTTG